TCCGCGGGCGGGCGGCGGGGGGCTGCCAGCCCTGGCCGCGGTGGCGTGCATCTTGGACGATCCAGCCCGGTCTGGCAGATCCGGCGGGCGGCGGTGGGATCCAAAGATAAGGGGCGAATGTGGAGCCAGGCTGCCTCCGCTCCCGGAGGCGGTGGTGGTGGTGCCGGAGTGCGGGTGTTGAATCTGAATGTGGACAGTTGTATTGGGCACGGGGAAAGGGTGAGCTCGGAGGAGAGCGGCGGCGTCAATGGGAGCGCGACGGGCGCTTTTAGTCTCAGAGGTCTCTTCTCGAAGAAGGTTTACTGATCGGCGAGCGGAGGATGGTGATAATGGATTAGGTTTCTCTCACGGCGGTGATTTCATGGATCGATGCTGTTACAGTGATTGGAGTCCGGGAAAATCGATTACTTTAATCATCGTGGGCTAATCCTCTTTTTTTAATCTTGTGAGAAGATATTTGTTTGGGTCTTCGTGGTTTTTCTTTGAAACTTGCTTGCTCGAAAGTCTAAATTTTATTTTATTTTTAAATTGTAAAAAGCGATTGATAAGGCTAATTTATATTTTTCATTTTAATTTTTTTATTTTTTTAATTTAATTTGAAATTAAATTAATTTAGTTTAAAAAAATATAAAAAAATCAATTAAAAATATTTTTTAAAGAAAATGATTCTAAATAAGATTTAGGGTTGATGTGGAGAGTTATCAGTGAAAATTTATTGTAAGGTTCGAGTATTTATAACATTTTTAGAAAAAAAAATTAATACTTGTCAGAAGATTCATGATGATAGAGTAATAATTTAGCATTTTAGTATTGGGAAAAATATAACATACACTATGTTAATTAAAGTGACAAGTAGAGAACAGAATTTTTTATGTGAAAAATATTAGGAAAGAAAGTTACGAGGTCTAGCTCAATTGATATAATCAATTATGTAATGATAAATATACATGCACACTCTTCTCTTGAGTTAGGAAAGATAGAAATATAACATTGATGTACAATAGTAGTTTACAATAATAATCATAACACACCGTGGAGGTCGTAGTTAATTGCTACAGTGACAGTAGTTCGTCGTAAATGTTATAGATGATCGTTGTTAAAAAAATATATACTCGACGTTAGTTGGGAGAACCCGCAACTGGATGGACTCACCCTAAGCATTGGACATGTTTGATGTCTATTTTAGTTTTCAGAGGTCCCTATGTATCTATTCGAAGCCTCCCTAGGCTTAAGGGATGTCGTGAAGCCCTCCTACACACATTACGAGAAAATTATGGTTTAAAACACCCTATCCATGTTGTAGTACTACAGAGTGCCTGTTTGCGATAGATTTTTTTATCAATGGGCGATCAAAATACTCATTTTTTAGGTTAGGGGATCCTAATATAATCATAGGTGGTCTCACATAGCTTTTGGATCAAGAAAATCCTCTCTCTGATGCTCACGGTGTAAGCCAAAGTTTTTGGTGCTAAACTGACACCTAGGTGCCAGCCTTGGTTTCTTAGGCACCCAAAATGCAATCTCGAATGTCAAAATCAAGCCTCTAAAATTCTAGCACTTGTTTCTGACACTGAGGTATCAAGCTGGGTGTCTGGGCGCCAGTCTCGGGCGCCTAAAACAACTCAAAACAGCCTTTTCCCGAGATCCAGGAAAGTAGGCTCCAAAGGTCTGGCGCCAGACTGGGAGCCTAGGCACCACAGTCGCGGTACCTAGACGTCAGTTCATTTTCAAATTGCAAAAAAACTCGTTTTTGGGGCTTATTTGACCCCAACACACCCCCCAATGAGTTGTAATTGCAGAGATCTCCTTGAGCTTGAGGAGATGTGTATGTGGGATGTAATGGCTTGGGTTAGGCTTATTTGGCATGTCCTAAATGCCCTCCATTAACAACTTTTGACATAAACAAGGTGTAAGTTGGGGATTTGGTTAGGTGAGCTAATTTTAACTTAGGGAACTTAACTAGGCATCATAATTAGCCAACAAGTTAGCAAAAACACTCCCTTTCTTAAAAATATATAACAGAGAAAGAGCATGGACGCTAGTAATTGATAAGACGCTAGTAATTGATAAGCTTTCCAAATATGATAAATAATGTTGTTAAGTAAAGTGGAGCCCGGTACACCTTCTCTTGGTATTTGACAAAAATCTGTTATGGCAAAATATTTAATTGTTAATTAAATATTTACTTTCATAAAGATTTCCCTCCAAGCCAATTTCCTGAAAAGCTTCATGCAGAATCTCGTGAGATCTTGAAAATCTTCCTCTTATTTACTTAAATAGTTTTGTCTACTTCTTATAAAATGCTATCCCCACCTGCTCTCCAATATCATCCCACAAACTCCTCTTCAGCAGAAGCTTGAAGGAAAAGCAGAAGCTTGAAGGAAAAGGAAGAAAAGGAAAAAAGAAAAACTTTTGCTTTCGATTTCTTTTCTTTCGCTTAAAAGAAAAATATTTCTTGTCTTCCTTTCTCGTAGCTTTGAGAGAGAGGAATGAGAGGTGAGGAAGAGGAGAGAAAGAAAGAGAGATATTATTCTTTCTTGTAAACGTCGAGACGTTCGACGGTGTAATTCCTCGAAGTAGTAAAATCTTCTGTAGCTCTGTGGACGTAGGCAATTTGCCAAACCACGTAAATCTGTTTGTTTCCATTGTGTTTTCTGTTTTGTGATTTTTTTGTGGACGTAGACAATTTGCCAAACCACGTAAATCTATTTGTTTCCATTGTGTTTTCTGTTTTGTGATTTTTTTAGATTCGTTTTTTTTGCTTTATTATCGTTGTTTTTTTCACAGCAACTGGTATCAGAGCTCAGTTTTATATATGAGAAAAAGCGATGGCTAGAGATGATGTCATGGCATCGGAGATCGAGAAGTTTAATGACACTGATTTTGGTTACTGGAGGATGCAGATAGAGAACTACCTCTATGGGAAGAAACTTCATCTTCCGTCATTCGGAAAACGACTAGAAAAGATTGATTCTCTGGCAGGGAATCAGACTTGGGAGCTAACAAAACTTCCACCAGGAAAGAAGACATTGTACAGCAAGTTTGTGTACTGGTGAAGACTGCGCTTGATGACAGTAAAATGTACAATGTTGGACTTATTGAAAAGGGATTTCAGCAGATGCAAGATATTGCTCATACAGTGGGAGTTGTAAGCAAATACACGAGTAACCTAGAAAAAAATTTGGAGTTACAAAGCTATGTTGATGTTGATATGTCGACTTGAGAAGCTAAAGTTGTGCTCGACTTCAGCTGGTCTTTTGACATGAAGACCGAGAGTTTGAGTTGCAGAGGTGGAGGATATCAGGTTTGAGGAAAAGAGCGGTGCGACCAGTGGATGGTGCAACTAGTGTCCCAGTCTCCAAGTGGGAGAATTGTTACGTAAAGTGGAGCCTGCTCCACCTTTCTTGGTATTTGGCAAGAATGTGTTATGGAGAAATATTTAATTGCTAATTAAATCTTTACTTTCTTAAAGATTTCTCTCCAAGCCAATTGTTTGAAAATCTTCACGCAGAATCTCGTGAGACCTTGGAAATGTTCCTCTTATTTACTTAGGGTCTGTTTGAGGCAGCTGCAGCTTATCCAGCTTCTGCTAATAAGCAGCTTATCCTAATAATCTGCTGATGAGCAGCTGATTCAGATAAGCTGTCTAAATGTTTGGTTGGCGCTTATGGAAAACAACTGATGTGGAAATTTGACCGCTCTGATCTGGAAAATTGACCGCTCTTACTCTGAATAAGCAGTTTAGTTGTTTGGTTAGTGTGTTTTGTAAACAGCTTATTTGGAAAAAAATTTTAATTAAATGAATAATCTGTGCAGCAGAATTTGTTCTTTTCTCAACAAAATTAAAGATCACTATTCAGACAAGAAAATACCAAAAAAGTTGATTTATATTTATATAACTAAAACATATTCGATCACATCAAACGAATATGTTACACATACAAAAGTCAAATGCACCAGCACATACTACTACAAAATATAGTAAGAGCCCATAAAAAAGAAAAAATAACATGTTAAAATGACAAGTAAAAATATGATAATGTTAACTTTATAATGTAGCAGCATATCACGGCCCATGTCACCTGCATCTGACACTCCAGAACCCTGAGCAAACCTGTCTGACTGCGATATTGTAGAAATGGCAGAACTCGAACCACATGCGGCATTGTCCCGTTGTGGTACTATTGAACTCCTAGCTGCTGTGTCTAATTGGGATATCATAGAAATAGTTTCACTGTCGGCCCACCTGAAGAATTTGCAGTCGTCCGGTCCTTGTCCCCAACGCGAGCACCTGTAGAATTGTCGCCCGTAACTATGTGTCTGTCGTGATGTGAATTTGCAAACCTGTCCCGACTGCGATATCTCAAATTCATACACAAAGTAAACACAAAGATATTGAAATCTTCTCATACTCATGTGAGGAACAATTAATTTCCATAAACTACTTAAAATTATGAAAACATAGATATATCAATCCTTACATAAACTCCAAAAAAATGTGCAGAGTTATTTAAATCCTACTGAAAATTCCAAAGAAAAATGCAAAATAAGATGGAAGGAATAGCGGCATAAAAATGCAAAGCAACCTAAAATGCAGAGCAAAATCATAGAGAAGTTAGAGCAGAGCAAAATCAGAGAGTAGCCTAAAATGCAGAACGTTGGCAGGGAATAGCGGCTTAAAAATGAGGTTAGTATAAATATTCCATAATAATGACGTAGAGATTAACCAGATCCGAAGAGAAAAGTCGAAGAAGATGCGAAGAACCAATCGGCGAGCCGAAGGAAATGTGAAGAACCAGTCGGCGAGCCAAAGAAGGTGCGAAGAGCCAACCGCGAAACTTGCGGTCTACAGCAGATGGAGGCGTCCGAAGAGAGTTGCGATCTGCAGCAGATAGAGGCGTCTGCGAAGAGATTGCGATCTGCAGCAGATGGAGGCGTCTGAAGGTCTGCAACGGTCTACAGCAGATGGAGGCGTC